CTTATCAACGGTTCACGATGAGCGAGTTAATTTCAAGTCGACGTAGGTACAATTCACTTGATATGGAGCCAGCTAGCTCTGTAGTTCTCGCTGATCACACGCTGATTATAGCGGAAATTATATAATATCTTCGTAAAAGTACTAATGTCTGATGTTAATCCACTGAAGTTGAATGATTTGTAATGTTCGAAATTTATAAACGTTCCTGATCAATATATCTAAAGTTCCTGATTAATAAGCGTTAATCACAATTATAGTTTCCGAGGTTTATAGTTTACCAACTATAGCAAACCAGTAATATATACTATTTTTGGTGCGTCGCGTTGGTTATATTTATAGGCGTGTGGAGAAAATTCAGATTACGTAATAATACTGACGCTACTACTATCGTTTACGTTCACACATATATTGTTGATTTTTACACTCGAGAATCTTCTACAACTTTAGAGAATAGGCGGAAGTTTCGCAATACATATTTAACAGTATACAAACAAACAACAAGCAAAGTTGATTATCACAGCTCTACAAAATTATAAAGTGGAAATAAAATAATTTTAAGAAATTGTTAAAAGTATAAAGAAAAAAGGTCTACGAGCTATACCATACTAATTTTCTTAGTCTTTTAAATCGCAAGCTTTATTAGCTCCTTTGTCATTAAAATGGAAAGCAGAAATACTAAAAGAGTTTTAGGTTCCTAGAAACTTTTTTACTAGTTCGTTAATTGATTAACACACCCATGCATAAAAAAGGTAATTATTAAAAATAATTTTGCACTAACTTTACATGAAGGAATAATTGCATTAGCTTTTCTACGAATGAATAAATTTATCTTCATTAACTGCTTGAAGAAACAAAAGAACGGCTTGTATATAAAAAAATGTTTTAAGAAACATAATTTTTAATCATCTTTCATTCTTATCCAGAATAAAGAAAGCGACAGCATCACAGTTACATATATTTTTGATTGTACATATCGTATTTTGTGCCTCATGATATTCTAAGTAAGCTGAACGTGTGTGTGTGCCTTTGTTTTAGTGCAAAGTTACACACTGGACTATCCGTGCTCTGTCCATCGTGGGGAGTCGCACCCCGGATCTGAGCATCATAAGTTTCTAAAGTTACCGCTGACCCAGCAGGGGACAAGTAGGCTGAGTAAATTGAATTTAATGAGCCGTAATTTAGGTTAAATCACCTTTTAAATCACAAATAATGTACTAATTATATTTTTAGTAACGTATTTGTATTGAGTATTTATTATGTGTACTAAATGATTCACAATAAGGACAAAAATTATAGTTTGTAACTAAGAAGTCGAGTATAAATGTTTTTGGTCACTCTTGAATTGAAAAAAGACCTACATGGTTAGAAAAATATCGCGCCAATTGTGATATTATGTTTCGATGCTTTATAAAAGTAGATTATTCTCTAAAATTACTAAAATATATGTATGTGGATTATAGTTGTCTTTTACTCACCACAGTCAACCTATATTTTAGTGCTACACATTTTTCAAATCTATATAAATATAGGTGTTCACTGTGGTGAATTAAAGAACATTATAAGCACCAAAAATATAACACATAGTTCACTACTACAAGAAGCGTCGTTTTACTTTGCGATTTGCCCTTGTCCAGTGTTACTAATGAAGGGAAGAATGTTCTGAAACTGGTATAATTCAGTGAAAAGTGGCGACTCGAATGATAGATTAGGCTTCATATTTATTTTTAGGCATTTTTAAAAATTTTGATGTTTGTATTCTTATTGGCCAGAGGGAGTTTTCATATCACATTATGAATGTGGCTTAATGACTAGAATCTTCCTGAAAATACAAGAGATAATTTTAGCAGCATAAAAACGCCACATATGCTAGAGTAGAATATTATTGATTTATGAGTCTGTTAGAGCTACAGTGAACAGTTTGATTATTGAGTTAGCGAGTTTGTTAATCAGTTTATTACTATCAGGCATGTAGTCAGTTATTGCAATTTTGTGAATACTGAGTTTGGGTTTCCACGAGAAAATTAGCAAGTAAAGTCAAAGTCAAACGTTAAGACACTCACCTTTGTTTACTGATGTTATGAATGACCACATACTGAAAGTAGCAGGGCTGTTTCCATGAAACATTAATATAAAATCTCCATACAAACACACACACACCTGCTTACGATATATACAGAAACTGAAAAACTCTTGATCGATAGAAAATTATATTTAATGTATTTTATTTGAACTCCTTTTTCGAATCGCTATAAGAGCCAAGATGTTGATTGTTACAAGAAAAGTTTTAAAAAAGAATCCCGCACACTTCACATTTTCGTAGTTTTATTATTGTACTAGCAGATTCTCGTTGAAATAGTTCAACGGTAATTTTCCTAAAAATAGTGATGAATAAATAAAAAATGTGCAATCAACCTAATCCCTTCTATCAGAACGTATATGCGATATGATCGTCTAGTGGGCTGATTACAACCATCTTTTCACATTCCCTGTGTTGTTTCTAAGCAAAAGAGACTGAATACAATGCATTGTTAGCACAAATATTTTGTTTTTGATGCAATTAGAGCATCTAGTACATTAGAGCGCTCAGCTTCGCTAAGTAGCTGTTGGGAATGTTTTCTCTGGATACCACCGTTCCTTATCATTTTACTGAGCGCAAGGAAAGATCGCTACAGAAGAGAGTGCTTTTTGACAATTGTCATTTCTATAGTAAGTGTCAAAGGGGAAATATTCAATTCAATTCGAACCATTTTATTCGACATGATACAATAGAATCTTGCATGCATATAATACGGACATGCAAAAAACAACAAATATATACTGAAACACGTTTTTCTCTTTTTGCGTTTTTTTCCGTTCATAATTCTATCTTCGGAATATTTCTTTAAATCAATTGATGTAGGATATCTCCTTTTTCGTGAAGCTTCATCACAAAAAGAAGAAGATATTTTCGTAAGTTTTTTTTGTCAGATTTACCGTTCAGCACATACGAAGACTCACGGATTAATGTTGATAGAGATATGAAATTTTAGGAATTGGAAAAAAAAGTAATTTTCGTGTAACTTAATCTTGAAAAAAAACATTCCGATATATATATATATATATATTTACTACGATTAATCATTCAAGAGATACAAAGTGTGACAGAGAGACAGACATCTGGCTATTGGATATACAGATTTAAGGCACAGATAGGACGTTTTCTGATATAGACTGTTAATATAGGGTTTATATATACCACTAACGACCTCGCCAGTTTTTGTTGTTGTTTTATGCTATATAATATACAGTACATTATATTCTGATTGCAGTAAATAAAAGACTATACTGGAATTGCGTTTAATATTTATTCGGATGAAAAAGTTTTTGTAACCCTGATGTTGTTTTACTGTATTTTTTAATTTTGAAAGAAATTTAAACAGAAATATTGGTTACCAGCTCGAATTTGTTATAACTTTCAATTTAAGCTGAATATTATTGAAAGATATAACCATAATTAAAAAATATGCTTAAAAATATCATTTATGTTCTTATAGTCCCCATTGGCTCAGCGGTAAGTCCAATGGCTTTGCTAAAAATCCGGTTTCAATACCCTCGGTGGGCACAGTACAGATAGTCCATTATGTAACTTTGTGCTTAATAACAAGCAAAACAAACTGATTATATTATTCGAGAAATTTATAAGCATAGCCATTAAAATTTAATTTTCCGCATTGATTTTATGAATGTTATTGACGTAATTGCCTAAGACCTTTTAACAGCTAACTAAACTGGAAAACCAGATTTTTAAAGATTTCAAACTCAGTTTGATCAAGCGTAGCTAATGGTTAGCATGTCAGACTATGAATCTGAGGTTCCATGGTCCGCGTTCCGTTGCCGGAAAAACAATCGTGCTCCAAACTTTGGGACAGTGGGTACATAATAAGAGTGTCGGTCAAATAACATTACTCGGTTTTCACAAGAATATCCCAAAGGTTGGCGATATTGACTAGCTGCTTTCCCACTTGCCTATCACTGGAAAATTAGGTGGCCCAATATATCGGTGTATTTATGATTGTACGTTTGGATAATGCAGAAAACCAATCAAAAAATGGTTTCAGGCTTGTTTATTAGATTATCCTATATATCACAAATGGTTTGAGAATTCTGACAAGTAAAGAAGAATAGGATTAAACTGAAAATACAGTCGACTGTTGTCGTGGAAAGTTTTCTGTCTGGCCATTATGCATTATCCATAACAAGGATTATAATGTTAAAAATACTGGAGAAAGAGCTAAAAAAATGTTTCACAAAATGAGTGAAAAAAACCCTCGATTAATAACATTGTGTATGATATGATGTGTAGATATGAAAACAACAATAGTGTAACGTACAATTTAATTTTGTAAAGTGGTAGTTTAATAAGAAGAATAACAACATTAACATAACAGGTTTGTGTACTGAGTGATTCTTTGTGAGAATAGATGCCAGAAGCACTGAACATTTGGTATACGTGCAATTCTATTTTGGCGCTGAAGTACCACTTAAGTATTCGCTTCCTCATATCTACCACGTAGAAAACTTTTTCATAAAACGTCTGAATTAATGTAGTATGTAATCAGGAGACATGATGAATAGTTTAATTATAGGTTAATATACTTCCATAGCTTGCATAGTGGTTTGTAGAGGTTAGAGTTTGATTATATTTCCGTTAAATTTCCATTGTTTACGTTCAGCACGTGACATTCTCTGTAGCCCTTTCCATTTAAAGAACGGGAATTCTTGATGCAAAAGACAGAAAATCAATTTTCCACTAAACGATGAACAACGCCTCATATTTCTCGGCCAATTTCTCCTTTCAGATTTTGCGCCCCACCTTTTCACAGCTGAAGCCAGTCGGAGGGTTAGAACTTGTGACGTCACGACTGGATGTCCGCGTCGCTTCCAGCTGACACCCAAGACTACATTTTGCTACCACTCTCTGCCACAGAAAACTTCGTCGCTGTCACAATAAACCACAGTGTTGGAACGGTGGAGAATTTTTCGTTTCGTTGTAACAGTGAACGGTGAGACGATCCACAGTTACAACTTCATTGTAGAAGACGTGAAGATTTTTTCGGTGTTCATTGTTAGCTTCAAAGTACAATAATGCCACGTAGAAACACTAAACGACTTATCAAGTTCGTAGGCATTGTCACCTTAGTGCTTCTTTTAGGTACTTTTGTGTTGAAAACACTGCTACTTTCCCATCCACTTGCAAGTCCAGATGGAGAAATTTTGAGCGGTGGCAGTATAATGCCACGCCCACCTGGAGATTTAAAAAGGACAAAGGTAGACATTTTTATCTATCTTAGGTTTATCTGATTCTGTTCTAATAATTTTTGGTAACACACACGAAAGCATAACCGATACTTTTTATAATTTTTGGTATGATGTTTTAAACAAATATTTTTAATTGCACAAGTGATATCTTACTTACGTACCGTACTGCAATGCTTCACGTTAGCTGAACCTATAAGGGATTATTATCGTGAAAAAAGATTTATAGAAATGATATCAACATTATGATATTAGGAGTGACATTTTAGAGTTGTAGTGAGATTTGCGGTTTCCGAACAATATTATTGGTGTTTAATTAAGACAAGTGGTATTCTCGGGAAACTCACTAGATCACGCATTTCTTAATGTTCTACATTATATAACAGTGATCTATTTCTCTTAGGGGAAAACTTGTGCGTGATATTTACGATACTAAATAAAAATGACTGGTGTCCTCAGGTAAAAATTCAAATCAACAGATAACTGTCAAGTTCATAAAAATAAGTTCTTATACGTTGCAGAGCGCTAGAAAGTCAAGCTCGACAAAAAAGAAACAGAGACTGGGTACATTTTTTTTTCTCTCTCTCTCGTACAAAGAATACAGATTATAAACAAATTAACAACAAAAATGCGCATGTCTTATTAATATGCTCAGCTCTTCTATCGTACTAACACTATTGTAATTATCAATAAAAAATATGAGTTTTGATTCTATAATAAAACATGCTTACCTTACTGGTGCCGGTCATGGTCTGCTGATTAGTATGTCTAGCCTCCTAATCCGAAGACTCATGGTTCGCGTTCCATTGCTGCAAAACAAGCTTTGCACTTAGTGCCGTATATGCGCTATAACGGTCAAATTCTACTATTCAGTTATGGAAGAACAGCCCATGAGTTGGAGATGGGTGCAGTTACTAGCTTCCTTCCTTCTGTGGCGGGCGTGAATCAGATGGTCTATGGTTTGAGTCCTGTTGCCGCAAAATCACGCCATTTCCACTATTCAATAAGAATAGCCTTAGAGTTAGCGATGAATATTAACTGGTCCATTTGACTTAGGGAAAGCTTGTGTGTGATATTTATGATAGTAAAATGTTTATAATTAGAGATAAAGACAATGAACTGCGGTGTCCTCAGGTAAAAATAAAACCAACAGGTAATCTTGAAGTTCACAAGAGTACCATCTTGCTCGCGTAAGAAAGTCAAGCTCGACAAAAAAGAAACAGAGACTCTGGTCTGTTAGTTCAAAATGAAGGACAGTTAGCGCAGATAGAAAGCCCCTGTGTAGTTAGTTTCCCGTGAATATCCGAAACAAACTAAAACAAAACTATTTCCCATATATATTATATATAGTATATTAATTCACAATTTTTTAGTGCTATGAGCAGATAGCTTTATTTATTGTCCGAATCACTGAATTTATTTAAACGTTGAAAGAACCCCAGTAACATGTGAATCAGTGCTGGTTTAAGGGTTATAAGCATTAATGGTTAGTGATATTGTATATAATGCATTTATTTATGTAGGTGCTTGAAAGAAGCAGCAGCAAAAGTTGTATCCCTCTTTTTGTTTTTGTGTTTTTAATAAAAAAATTACTGTGAAAGAGAAATTACACAGGGCATTAAATGATATTGATTTTCTCTCTCAAGCCCGGCTTGGTGGGTAGGGCGTTCGACTCGCAATCTGAGGGTCGCGGGTTCGAATCCCCGTCACACCAAACATGCTTGCCCTTTCAGCCGTGGGGGCGTTATAATGTGACGGTCAATTCCACTCTTCGTTGGTAAAAGAGTAGCCCAAGTGTTGGCGGTGGGTGGTGATGACTAGCTGCCTTCCCTCTTGTCTTACACTGCTAAATTAGGGACGGCTAGCGCAGATAGCCCTCGTGTAGCTTTGCGCGAAATTCAAAATAAACAAACAAACAATTCTCTATCAAATTTTTGTGTTGTCGCTATTACGAACACCTTTTCTCGCGCTAATTATTCAAGATTTATGAAATTTAGCATACCATTTTTCTCAGAGCGAATGTTTAGTATATATTAATTTTTTAATTGATATTTCTTATAGTGTGCTAATTAATTAATTTATTTATTTTTTGACAAGAGGTTAGGCTATTCGTTTATAAAGTTTTCGTTTTCATCAAACGCTACCGACACCTTTTTTGCTTTAACGCTAAATTTGTATTATTCAAAATAATTTTTGTCAAATGATTTAAAGATTAGCTCATCGAATATTCAGCGAGATAGTAAAAAAAGCAAAAACGTACGTAGCTTTCAGGCATTCCATAGAATTAAATAATTTAACCAAGGGGATTAACTGCTCTCTATTTGAACGATTTGTATAAATAATGTAATGCAATGTCACGTCGTCGCAGATGCGAGTCATGCTACTACGGACGACATTCTTAGTATCTGTATATCTACAACAGTTTCTAAACAGGTAAGTATGGAAATTAAATCTAGCCTGTAATGATTAGAACGCGGTGAATTAAAAGCTGCATAATAATATTCCCGCTGTCAATACTATTTTAAACTGAAATCCAATTAATAATATCTCACGAGATATTAAGAGATTAAGCTTAATCCACAATCTTCATATTAAGCTAACAATGCAAAATCATTTTCACAGGTATAATATTACATAATAATAATGTTCAAGGTTTAATAAGATAACTAATGGTATAATGTTGTTGCATGTCCAGTTACAGTAAGAAAAGAGGCCAAGTACTCCCCAATTTTTTCTAGTTTAATTCATCTAATGTTACGTTACATATTTACAGGGTTTGCCCTTTTATATCACCTGGCGTTACATCTTTATATGCCTGAATCCTTTATTCTAATAACACAACTTAAATTTAATGACAGTTTATTATAATTTTTACATGTAAATATACACCGCTTCGTGACTGTTTTTCTATTAATGTATACAGTATGTTTCATAATCTTAAAATGTCTCAAATTTAAGATTCTAAGATAAAGTGAGATTTGAATCACACTGTCAGATGACACTTCAACATGGATACTTAATCTTTACTCATCAGAATGCCCTTTAACATTATCCTTTTCACCCACTCATAAACTCATAAGTATTGTCTATAATTCACACTGTCAGATGACACTTCAACATGGATACTTAATCTTTACTCATCAGAATGCCCTTTAACATTATCCTTTTCACCCACTCATAAACTCATAAGTATTGTCTATAATGAATGACATTAAATACTTTTATTGTTAGAACAGCAGATATTTTAAGAATTAGAAATACGCATTATGTAAACATGCTTGTCACAAATTTGCTTCTAGTTTTAATATGACTTAATGTTATAAATCGTCTTCGGTTTCAAATTAAGTCACTTCATTATACTTAACATCAAATAGGCTTCAGCATATAAAGGTCTTCTGTAACGTATAACTGAAAAACACTCAGAAATAGGCCCTTAAGTTAAATGAGAGTTAGGTTCACTGCATCTAGTTATTGGCTGATCACGTGCTCTCGTATCCACACAAACAACAACATGTAAGTGCCATATATGTACCTTATTTCTTCACAACGAAGTCATTCATGCTAAGATCAACAACAAGCTAAGTTTTAGCATATAACACTTATTTTTTTCTGTAATAATTAACACCCATGCAGTTATCCACGTTGTTTAGAAAAAACAACAACAACAACTTTCTATGAGAATTTTGTTTTTATACTTTATCTATGGCTTTCACCAATTACAAACTCACTTTCATTCTGTTATTATTCTATATAAATAACATATACTTGACGACCTTAACGTACCTATACATAGGAATTGTAATTATTTGTATGTACGATTTATAACTGCTCTATTTACTTCATCACATGTGTTGCCCATGTAAAAAGTTTACAAAGGCATATTGTCAACATGAAATTGCAACTACAAGATAAGTTATTGCACAAAATAAATTTTATAGTAGATTATTTTCGTATGTAAAGTACCAGTTGTATTTTCTACCTTTGTTATCTAACTGGGCGATTATAATTTTCAAAAGTCAGTATTTCGCTTGGTATAGTTTTAAAACAGTTTGAGGTTGTCCAGCTTTCCAGCCAAGCTTAGCACTAGGATGTTCTTCACATCTTAGCGTTGTTTGACATCTAAAACCATATAATACAATCCGTGGTTTTATCATGAGACCTGACACAGGAGTTCTTATGCAGTTGGTCATGATATGGGTTTTATTATCTGACGTGAGTTTATGTGCATTCATTTTAAACTACTACGCATTTCATGTATGTTTTGCACTTTTGTTTTACAAGACAGATTTTCAGTGTTGTAATATATTCTATTTAAATAATCTATTTTTTTTAGTCAAACCTTAACTTTATTAAATGTATCTTATATATACATAAACCAAATTTCTATAAGTAAATAGTTCTAACACTATAAATTATATCAACTGTATTTAGGTGATCAAATACGCATTATATAATAATGATGAAAGTTAGTATAAAAACCAAAACTGAGAACTCCATTATGAGATAATTTAAAAAAGAAAAGAAAATTTTGTCCATTACCAACCATTGTCGTTATTTATTAACTCATAAAGGAAAATACCTGTGGTCATAGTACCCAAAAATGTTGGGGAAATTCCATTTATCACGCATGATCTAAACGCAAATGTCAAACTAGGCAGCCGCTACGGAAGGTCAAATTAGGTGTTAGGAGTTGAGTGCTTCGACCCACAACGTCCCACCTCCCACTGCCTTTTGCTGTCTTCAGCCAGTTGTGGACATAATAGGTACTCCTAAAGAGTTTAAGATTTTGAAAGTAACAACATAGTAGAAATTTTGTTATTTGGAATCACCCTTGATTTCTACCATTGTTAGACACCCAACCTCCACTCTTTAGACAGCCCCCAGTGGCACAGTGGTATGTCTGCGGACTTATACCACTAGAAACCGGGTTTCGATACCCGTGGTGGGCAGAGCACAGAGAGTCCTTTGTGTAGCTTTACGCTTAATAACGAACAACAACAATTTTTAGACAA